AGCCTCGTCCTTCTCCACGCGCCTGCCGACCTCGTAGCACACACCCGGAGAGCACTGCCCCCTTGCGTCGCCCTGCTCGGTGGCCTTTGTGTACAGCTCGGCGGCGCGCGCCTCGTCCCTCTCCACGCCCCTGCCGAACTCGTAGCACTCGCCCAGGGAGCACTAGCCCCTCGCGTCGCCCTGCTCGGCTGCCTTTGCAAACAGCTGGGCTGCGCGCTCCTCGTCCTTCTCCACGCCCGTGCAGAAATAGTAACACTCGCCCGGACAGCACTGTCATATCGCGGCGCCCTGGTCGGCGGCCTTGCTGTACATCTCGGCGGCGCGCGCCCCTAGCAGCTCCATCAATCCTTTGGGAACTTGGGAGTAGCTGCGCTCCGGCGGCATCATGCGGTGCAGCTCATGGAAATCGCCTTTTATGTCTTCAGCACCCCAACCTCCGGTGCCTCCCAATCAAGCGCCCTCAAGCGATGTAGAAGCGCTTTCCATGCCTCGTAAATGTTGTGAGAGCTGGTGGGTTTGGTTGGAAGTCACTTGATAAAGTAGTCCCTTATACCCCTAACATCGTGCCGCAGTTTTGCAGAAAAAGGTGCGCATGCAAGAGACGTTGAATGCAAAAAGGTTGCATGCAAGAGTAAAGTAAAGAGTGGCCATCTCATTTGGCTTCCTTGCTAGCTTCAATTCTTAAAGATGAGGTGTGAAGTCATGTTGGGCTATACATTGTGCTTTTCTCAAACAGTTTCTTTATGGGTGGTAACATTTGAAGAAGACCGGCTGCGGAACATCTCATTGATGCTGATTTGTCAAATATCATTTCAAGCCGTCCGATCCTAATCGACCGTGCACGTTTCTTTAGCTTGACGAATTTTAGAAAACGATCCAGTCCGGAGGGCGAGAAAACTTGAGAGGGATGTTTAAAGACAACACATCTAGCTCAGATGGTTTCGGCGCCGCCGACGAAATGTGGATTAATGACGCACTCTTGTACACGCATGTGCTAACCGCCGGAGCAGATATAAGTGATAACAACACAATTTCGGCTAACCTTTATTCCGCCAATGGCACCCGGATCGGCAATTACACCTATGACCTGGCCGGCAAGTCAACATACATCGTGGGAAGCGGTCAGTCAGTCACGAATGCCACTGTTCATGGTGCTGTCTAAGGCTACAAGACGACATCCGCAACTGGGAAGCATGTCCCCCCCTGGTCTTTAAAGTGGTCTTTGATGCTTCCAGATACTGGCAAGAGTGGAGGGCAACTTTGCTTTGGTTGAGAGCTTCTTACACTGGCTATATTCACCAGCACATGCACACCAGCATTGCAAGAAAAGTTGGGGTGTGTACTGTAGCCATAGGGTCCTCTTAGAAACGCTCCTCGTTTCTCTCGTGCTATCAGCTCTACCGTACTTCTTGTTTGTTGTCGGCATGAGCATTGTCTAGTTTGATTATGGTTGAGTCCCAACTTGTTGAGCTGGTGAAAGACATGCCGGGTTGAAGATAATGAGGGTATATACAGTCTACTACCTTGTTAGGGTTGGAAGCAGCCAACCTACACATCCATAACGATCGAATATGCCCTCCAACCTTCAGCCCTTGTCCTAGAACGTGATCTCAGCGTATTGGAAACATATTGGTAGATAGGGAGTATGCTTTTGACTACTGAGGCAAGCCTCACGCTCCTTCATGCAGGTTGTTATGTTTCAGTTGGCGACGAGTGGGAAGCATCAAACGGGCTTATTCGAGTCAACAACGGCTAAGTCACTTATGTTATGGGTGGCAGCATCCAGTGGGCATCGTAACGTGTTGCAGGAATTAAATGTGATTATGGTTGCTAAAAACGTGAATATGGATAAGCGCTTTCAGGGTCGATCACTTACCATAGACTTCGATTGGATCGAAGGGTGCATTTTAGCAGTCCTTCGTCATGATGACTTTTACTCTTGCTCATATCTTTTGCAAGCAGATTGTCATTACCGTAGGACTGCGATTGAAAGCAACGCTGACCTCCGAAAGGTATAATGAAATGGGCATTCCTGTGCAAAATCTTCCAGTGCAGGTAGGAGACAGGGATATCAACCAGCTTGTTTTGAGAGCAAAGGGAATGCGGAAAGCAATCTGGTCCAAATTTACTGATTTGAACACTACATTATATTACATTAATATAAATACTACATTACATTTGAACACTCTCACTACACCCTAAAACTGTAACACCCTAAACCTTCCCCACACCTCGGAAATAGCTCGGTCGACACACCAGACCATTGACATCCATCCTGACAGCCGACGGTGAGTCAGCCTCCGACATCATGACTGGTTCAAGCAAGACGCAAGACGCAAGGGGTGTTTTACGCCCCTTCACGCAAGGCCCCCGTTTTAAATGACCAAGATTAAATGTTAATCAATTGTTGACTTCAATTCAGGTAAGATTGCTGGTAAGAACCCCCATATAAACGACCAAGCTTAAATGTTAATTCAATGGTTGACTTCAATCCAGGTAAGATTGCTGGTAAGAACCCCATATAAACGACCAAGCTTAAATGTTAATTCAATTGTTGACTTCAACCCAGGTAAGACTGCTGATAAGACCCCCCATACTTACCCACTGCCCCGTTAGCAGACATCGTTCCAACCCCAAAGCCCCCTCCATTCGACGAGGGGTTCTGGAAGCCCCTCCCGGCGCTCCTCCACACCCCACCCGACTTCAAACCGCTTTGTCATTGCCTCCGAGGCCCCTTCCCCCGAGAAGCCGCCAGACGACCCCCCCGAAACGAAATCGTCCCTCTCGACCGGGTGCGAGAAGCTTAAATCCGCACTGCTGAGGCTGCTCATGCGGCGATACTCCCCCTGCTGGGGGGACGCGTCGATTCCCGTCACCGAGCTGCCGTACTCGCCGGCAAACCTGCTGAAACCACCGTGGCCCCTAGTGGCCTCAGCAAAGGCCCTGCTGACTTCACCCCCGGCGAAGCTCCGCGCGCGGGCGATGTCGCCGAATCCCTGGTGGTTCATCACGTAGTGGGGGTGTCCGCTGCGGTCGGCCTCGCGTCCCCTGAACAGGACCACCCCGCTCCCGCCACGATCTACATTGAGCGTCCGCAGCGTCTCCTTGCGCATCGACATCAGCCCTCCGACCCGCGCGTCCTCATGGCGGGGGTGCGGCATTGCCTGGGGCGCGTACCCCCCCGGGGCAGCGAAGTTCCCATCTTGGCGAAGGCACGTGCGGCACCGTGGGGGCTGTCCGTTGACGATCGGCTTGAAGGGAACGGTACTCTCCCGACCGCAGATCGAACACGGCCCACGGTAAAGGGGCTTCCCGAGGCGCATGTCAGTTCCGGTGTACTTCCAGTCGGGGCGACAGGGGAGACCGTTGGAAGGCTCCGACCCGTTGCGCGACATATAGCTCTGCTTGTCCTTGTGGCGCCGCACGTAGACGCCCTCGCCATCTGCAAGAAACGACCGGCTCAGGTTGAGACTCCAAAAAAAGAAGCAGACTCCCTGGTCTTGAATGTTAGCGCACTGACGTTCATCCGGACTCGATGTCCAAATGAGGGCAAGCTGACAGTCAAGATTCAGTCTGTAAGTAAAGTGCAACTACCCCTCCGAAAAGTCTGCAGTATATTTCCGGAATAAGTATCGACGAGAACAAACACCAACCGAGACAACCTTCAGTTTCTTTGTTTCTGAAAGAGAACATGAAAGCAAACAGTAGGTAGAAAAGTAGCAGCAGCAAAGAAGAGAACTTTCAAAGAGGGATTGCAAACCGAATCCGTTCCCAAACGGCAAGGGCTTTGGCGCACTTTCTCATCAATCGAAAAGCAAGAGGAAAGCCAGAAGAACCAGGAAGAAGAGGAGAACGAAGAGGGAAAGCGGGGCACCTTACCAAAGAAGTCGGTGAGTCGGATCTGCTCCCCAGCCACCAACCTTTGGCGCACTTCCTTGTTGGTCCAGTAGCTGAACTCCACGATCGCGAACCACTTGCCGGGGTGGTTCTTGTTCTCGCGCACCAGCGTCTTGGAAACGGCGCCGTAGCAAGAGAAGAGCCGTTCTGCATACTGTGCAGCGTTGCTGCAAGGAGATGGAGACCGCGAATCAGGATGATTATTTCGGAACCAAGGGTTTCCTTTCCCGCAACTAAGGTGAAAACCACTCATAACGAGATTTCAAGACAAGGCTTAAGGACCTAAAGTGCGAGAGTGGGATAGGACTTACGTCTCTAAGAACCAAAGAGGCATCTCGCAACTCTCACCGGGCAGCACCGAAAGAATCCAACGGATATGAAAACAGGACTCGATTCCCTGAACAAAATTGGCGTTTCCGCAAACCGTCGGTACACAGTCATCTTCCAGTGCTGGTCATTTCACATTCTTCAACAACAGACTATAGGAAAACACTCCAACCGATTCAAATTCTATCCCTTGAGTTCGAACAGAAAACCGACTACTCGAGTCCTGACCCGGTCGACTCGCTAAGAGCCTAGAGGGCGGTAACTTTATGCTGGAAGCCTGGGCGATCAAGAACGCTTAGACAAGCAACACATTTCCTGGGTAGATGACATCCCATGGCCAGATTCCAAACTGGAAAGAGCTCGTCAATCAATAGATTCCGACCGATCAGATTGCCCGGGAAGGTTAAGATAGAAAAGGTCAATACACGAAAATCCTGGCCGGTGCGGAACCCATGGAGAATCTCTAGAAAGATAACATTTTATTCAGGCCCTGGCCAATCAAAATGTCACGGAAGCTTGGACATGCGAGTCACTGGGCGATTGGCGTTCCTCCACAGGACCCAATAAAGTGGACCCAGAAGTCTGGCCGGTGAAGACGCCACGAGACATTGAGACAAGCGACTCAGTCCTCAACTCGTGGCCGCTTCAGAGCGACTACTCACTACTCGAACCGTGGCCGGTTCGCATCCCCCAAGAGGAACGTCGCCACGAACTTCGCCGGCAGCTGATTGATATTCACTTTGGGGCACAGGTCGTCCTGCGGCGAAAACTCGACGAAGATGGAATCGCCCCTGTCCGAGCGATGATCCAGAGCCTCGGGATAGAACCCCGGGTTGCTAGCCCAGGGGTGGTAGGCTGCGGCGCGCCCGGGGGGCTTGGCCGTTAGGGACAGCTGCTGGGACTGGTAGAACTGCAAAGCAGAATCAAAAATCGTTAGCACCTTGAGATACAAGTCGGATATAGCTCCCGCTATCATAGCGCCGTCCGAGTAGGTGGGTTACGATAAGAGTTAAGATGAAGGAAAAGATAGCAGAGATCCAGACACAAACACGGGGGGCTTGACCGGTAGGGACAGCTGCTGGATACGGTAGAATTGAAAAGAGGGACGAAACTGGCTAGTAAGATGTTGAAAATAGGAGAATCCCTTTTTACGACCTTCCCTTACATGTTGAATGAGATTTGCGGTAAAATAAAAGGCCAGAGGTCGTGAAATGCGGGGCGGGTGGGGGGCTTGCCCGGTAGGGACAGCTGCTGGGAGCGGTAGAACTGCGAAGAGCCTGGGAAGGAACTCGACAGGAAACACTCAAGCGATGGACGTTTCTCAACATGTGTCGAATGGAGTTTACGGAAGGAAGTGGACCTCGCTGCAAATCGTGAAAGCTTGCGCAGTAGGAATAGCCGCTGGGAGCATTGGGAAAGGAAAGAACTTTGTTGACCATTACTTTGTTGACCATTGGGGGCGCAGGATTGATGGAATCGATTATGTCAGGGTGCGAAAAAGCCGCTCGTCGTAGAGTCAGCTGATGGGTGTTGTAGAAGTGCGGAACGACACGAAACATGTTGATCGTATTATCCGCTTATGAAATCTGCTAAATCACAGGAAGGTTGGCAGACGAAGTCCTGATCAACGTAAGTAAAGTTCTGCTCGTTTAGGGTGGCTCAACAGCCCCCTCCAACCCCACCTTGGAAATTTCAAAATGTCCTTGAAAAGAAATAACAAACACGTCTGCTTTTACATCCCCTCCCCAGCGATTCAAGCGCTCAACACCTCCCCGCAACGGCAAAACCAATGAATCAGAAGAAACGACCTCACCTCCAAATGCAGGGCGGAGTCCCCGTCCATCTGGGTCCGCCGCTCTTGCTCGAACGCCATACTCAGCCGAGAGCCCTCCTCCTGCTTGGGAAGCCACCCGTCGGGAGCCCTCGGGAACGCTGTCATACCGTGATCACCATTGCTGAGCTCCACAGCGCGGGGCACGTTCACCCCGTCGCGAGACACTTTCACACCATCGCGGGACACGTTCACAACGTCGCGGGGCATGTTGACGCCGTTGCGGGGGCCGTTCATACCATCCCGGGGGACATTCACAATTTCGCGGGGCACATGCACACCCTCGCGTGGTGCGCTCAGAGCCTCGCGCACCGCGCAATCGTCTCGGAATCCGCCGTACATGCCCATGAAACTAAGCCCCTCGGACCGTCTGAAGACGTCCATTACGGACTCGGGCCCCGACTCCTTCGCGCTCGCGCGGGACCCCCCCGAGAATCCGCTCGAGAACGAGCAAGCCGCAAGCCCCGCTCTGGTCACCTGCGGCTCTTGGGGGATATTCGCATCGCTGCGGGGCAGGTTGTTCTCGAACCGGAGAGGCGCCATGTCGCGGTACATCTGCTCCGCCCTAGCCTCTTGGCGTGATGACACCATGGTGTCTTCTGGGTGGGAATAGGCCCTGTGCTCGTTGAGAAGGGGCGAGCGGCGGAGTGGCGAAAGGGTTTGCACCGAATCACTACTGGGTCCGGCACCGAACATGGTGGGCGGGAATGTCACTCCCGGACCGAGGGTACCAGTAAACCAGACGTCTCTGCTTCCCCGGCTGCTCGGATGACCCTTATCCCCATCTCCCGGATTTGGCGCGTTCACCGGGTTGGGGGGGTCGATGTGAAGCCCGGACAAAGTCGGAATCATCTTTGGGGGGGATGCGACGCCATTCCGAGGGTCTTCCATCGGAAGACGTTCGTTACCACCAGCGAGGATTTCGCGGCCGGGGAATTGCCCCAAGGGGAAGAAAGACCAGCTGTTTGTGCCCGGGGGAGGCAAACCGAGGCACGCGCGGAGGATCCACGACTGGTGCTGGGGGGTGAGGATGCGGGCGGCCGAACAGGCGGATGGAAGGGGCGTCAAGTGTCGCGGGATGAGCCTTGGATCACTACAAACAACAACAAGAAGAATGAATATTATAGTGATGGCTGACAAGACTGTTGCCAGAAACGGCTGAAACAAGATTCAATATGACGGACCGCGTAGATCATATGGCCGGCTGGAGAACGTGGAGCACTACAAATGATCTGTGAGAACGGGCAAAAGTAAGTACGGTTGGCTTGCTCTTCCTTCCCGAAGAAAGAGGTTTACAATGTCATGATGGTAGCTTTCGAGGCCGGACAACGAAGGAGAATTGCCCCGGGTCAGGACCAATTAGAAGCGTAAATGTGAGCAATCAGAGACCAAGCAGCTTGTTAAAAAGAAATTGCGCAGCTACGAACCGAACTCGCCCACTGATACGAGCAAAAGTGTGCAAACATTCCGTCGATTTCTTTTATCTACCATCTCACCCTTGAGATTTGTGGGCTTCTCACGAAGGAAGGAACGTGGTTGTCCAAACAAAACTCTGGTCAAGACTCTCAGGCCGCGGTTGTTCCACAATGAGGGCCGACTTGAAGGTCCTAAGATGAATGTTTGTGTCCGGAACGTAAGGCCAGCAGTATCAAAGCATGTGCGGGAGCGCGCACCAGTCACTGCAGCAGCGAAAACGAGGCAGCATTCTGCAACGAATCGAACACAGTCTGCAACGAGACTACACACTGCACCAGAATCAAGCCCGATACAAGCCTCAAACGACGAGGGATCTCAAGGTGAAGAGAACGGAAATGCTAACGGTCTACCTCGCATCGCTCTTCTCGACGTCTAACACGAGGGCTGCGGAAGTCTTCCGCTCAATCTCCACGGCAACAACGCCTGTAGAGTAGAAGTTATGAGGCAGATGGATTTCACATGGTGTGGCTTCCATACTGGCAGCGATTTACACGACGAACCAAGACGGGAGCGAAGAACGAAACAAAAGGATTACTAACCAGACGGCAAAGTAGTGAAAAGGTTTGTCCGAAAGCAGCTTAGAATTGTGGTCCCAAGGAGCAGGGTCAAAAACGATACTTCCTGAAACACAGAGATGGTAGTCAATTCCCGGAAGCAAGAACGTTTGAACCAACCGCAGAACGTCTATAACCTCGTCACGAGGAACGCAGATAAACGAGAGTCTTCCAGTCGCAATAGCTGGAAGACTGGATCACACCTGGGCGACTTAGCATCACAGATCTGAGGGCTACTGCAAAAATCCCAGGACTCAGGGTTGTATGAGGTTGATCTGAGAAGCGTTCTAGGAAAATGAACCTTTTGCGGCAACGATCACAATGGTGCTCTCAAATGGAAGGATCGGCACTGGGTACTAAAAGACAGCATCCAAAGCGTACCCGAATTCTGCCGGCATTTCCCTCGCGCACGAACTTCGGCACCATCTAAAAGGGGTCAACCCGGGCCCTGTTCACACTCCTTGGGGCAGCTTGCGACATGATCTTTCATAGGAGGTGTGAATTGGCGTCTTGAACGGAGCGGGGCCGCCAGGCCCTTACGGAACCCAGGGACGTCAAAACCTGGACGAAAAATGCCAATGATCAAGATACCAGCAATGGTAACGTTGACGGATTGGGGTTCAAGAGAACAGAGCCTGAAATTTCGAGGTTAAGCCCAGCAAACTTGGGGAGAATATGCACAAGGACAACGAGCAGAATTTGTCTGATCGCTCTCGAAGTCAACTCAGGGGTCCCCTATTTCGGATACACAAGCAGTAGTATCCTTTCACAAGCCCACGTAGTTACAAGGAGAGAGAGTTGGGTCATGGTCCAAGTCCAACCAAAATTGCATGATAACATGACACTATTACTAATCACAAAGCAAACTAATCACAAGTATAGTGAGTCAACCTGTCGAAGAGAGAGGGTGCGAAGCATTGATGCACCAAGGGCACACAAAGGTGGCAAGAACGCAGAAGAGGACCAAGTAAGTCAAAAGTCAACTTACTACATTTTTCTAGCGGTTGACTGCAAGCTTGAGACTACAAGAATCAAATTGCACTCTTAGGTTGCGCTCCGCCCTTGATCCAATGGGATAGAACAAATCAGAATGCGTGAAGATTTGCGGATTCGTCTCCGAACCTCGTGACACC